CTGTAATACTTACAGTGGGGAAGCTGGATCCATTTCCTATGATCAGTGTCAAATATTTCACACAGGGAAAAGTCACAATTCACGCATCGTATTTGACACAGTGTGTGTCTGTGTGTGTTTCACTACCCAGGTTTGTACCAACTGCAAAATGTGCTTAAATAAGCTGTCCAGAGCAAACGCAATTCAGAACCAACAAGCAATCATTTAAATGCCCAAGTATATTTTAATGTTTATAAGGTTCTCATTCTAGGCTGTTAGCCAACAAGAGGTCCCCTTTTCTCCCTCAGCACACGTTCTGTTGTCAGGCCATGATTAATTCTGTGCTCTGTAGAGGGAGACATTACATCCGGGCTAAAACATACCTAAATTTTACCCTGAGGCAGAGGTCTGGTTTAAACATCTCCATTCAAAGTGGCATTTGTCTTCCCCCTTTCAGTCACTTTATTCAGAAATTCTAGCATGATGACTTGGTGACCTACAAATGGCCCACCGGTTTTAAACTGTTATGTTGCCTGCCCCTTGTAGCTGGCGGTTTTAGAGACTCAGAGTAGCAAGACTGTGTGTGCATCAGGAAACTACACAGAGGCAGATGTTCAACAAATAAAAAAGACAAATTCTAGCTTTCTGTACAAAAGGCAGAGGCAATGTTTTCAAACTACAGTATTACAACACAGAGAGCCTACAGAAATATGCAATCATTTTAAAAACAGAAAAATATCTCTAACACATCATCATACATATATTTTATTTTTAAAAAGGCGAACAATTGTATCTTATGTGAGTTCTTCTACACTGGAGACATGAAATGGATGCTATTACTGTCACCCTACAAAGTAATGTACTTTACTATATTTGGTCTTCAATCTTGCTTGAAACACCTACTGAGGTTTTCATATTTTTTTCCATTACAAAATCAAGGAAGATATGCAGGTAAAAAACAAAAAATGGCTGGCGTGACCATTTTCCATACTCAGTGCAATCCTATACACGTCTATGACAAATATATACATTTACGCAGAAGCAAGCCCTACTGAGTTCAATGGGGCTTACCTGTCAGAGTGTATAGGATTGTAGCGTATATTCCATTTCTTTTGGAAAGTTAATGCTCTATTAGTTGACTTATCCACTTGCGCTCCTGCACAGAGAAAAGCAACAACCACCTACGGTAGAAAAATGTGGCAAAATTACATGCTATTGCATATAGATTACACTATATTCTTGGTGCATTAAGAGCACAATCCTATGTATGTTGACTTAGAAGTAAATCCTACTGTGCTCACAATGAGGCTAACTCTCATGTAAGTGGGCACAGGTCTGCAGCCTCTATATGGCCACTTTTGATAATGCTAGGGAATTCATACGATGCTGGCAAGATGCTACTTAACAAGGTAATCTCATTTCTGTGGTTTTTCAGTATAATTGATTTTCCCTCTTAGCTGCTCTGATAATTGAGCAAAATTATACAAGCATGGTGGGATTTTACTTACCAGCGCACAACACATAAAATCTTCTACAAAGATGAAGTATACTACTTCATAAAACTTCATTTTTGTTGTAATTAAACAAATTGTATTTAAGTTTGGCTTGTGCTGCCAAAGCAATCAATAACATTCATTTTATATATTTATTTATTTTGCAGCAGGCTGCACTTTTATCTGCAGGTGTCAGACCCTGTGTTTACTTTTAGTCAAGACTACAATGTTCTTGACTAGTGTGCCTTTCTGAATAAAATTTAGGGAGGAAAATAACAGGCTTCTGTACAGTTGGAAGCATTTAATGCCTGACAAATACCACAAGGGAGGAAAAATAATAGCACATGCAAATTATATATTGCTTCTTTGACCCATAAAATGCTCCGTTTAAGATAATGAGCCACAACCTTGCCTGCACTATAATTTCAGAGTCTGATCAACAATGTTTTTCCTTAAAAGACTCAACTGATAGGTTTAAGTGCATCAGGTTGTCGCTTATCTTTTAGTACTTGTTAAGGAATGTGTGGGGGTGTGTGTGTGAGTAATAGAGAGAGGGAGAGAACTTCAGCAGTCACCACTAAAAATAAAAATAATGATAGGAAGCAATGAATTGCCATGTAACTAAACTGATATAAAAATGATCAGCTTCGACAGACAATGTTTATGTAGGAGAATTCTTCAGAAAGGAAATGAACTAATATTTTAACTGATCAAGAAGAGATAACAGAATGAACTCTTCTTATTAACTCCCAAACATCATCAGCTCCATCTGCTTGGAAGTTCCATTATAATGACATTTATCCTATTTTTCAACAATCTGAAAAAAATTAAGCATGCTATGTTTAAGAGTGCACATGTGCTCCTGGGAAACTGAAAAGCCTCTCTCTTCAAACATGTAGCATCAAATCTTCAAAATAAGAATAGAAAACAGTTTTGTGTAATGTGACATGTATAAGTAGCATGACTAATGATAATTCCGCTAAATTTCCTATGAAAAATAACGGACTTGTTTCTGCTCCTACGCACGAATTAAAAATTACAGTTGGGTTTAACTATTGCTTCCTATCTTTCATTTGGAAAAGTCATTAGCAGTTTTAGTAACTTATTTTTAACTGCCATCTTGCAGACATCCAAATGCAAAACAAAATAACCCCCAACTCCTGAGACTTCACTATAACAAAAAGGGCACCTCCCCACACAAAGACAGATCCCACAAACAGCCATTTGACACTACATTCAATTAAAGTCTGGTTTCTATGGAAAATCCACGTTGTTTAAAGGGGAAAAAGGCTTTTTAAAAACCAGGGAGCGGGGTTGGCTATTTTAAACAAAAACAAAACAGTAATTTCTGTGTAATTTCTTTTGCAATGCACACACCTTCTTCTGAAAGGTAACTTGTTCCAGTGTTAACTATATCGTTTCCCCAAAATTATACTTGTGTGAAATCTTTTACCAGGAAGTGCAATATATCCTTAAAGGGGGGGGGAGGAATTATGCCTGTCAAATTATTCTACTTTATTTGTTCGTGTCAATTATGCTATGTAAAACAGATGAAAACAGTGACATGCCAGTTTGTAGTATTTTAAGTATGAATTGCACTATTATATGTGGTTCCCTGACTGGATCTTACCCCATCTTAGTAACTTCCCTTACTGATATGTTGTCACTGAAAGCTGTAAGGGACAAATGAAACATGGCGGCAGCTTCTGAAGTGTTCAAATTATGGACTAACCGCTAAGCAAACTTTGCTTTTTTTAATGCTCTCCTCTTGCTCATTTTAAAGAAGGAAAACACCCAGAAGCCTGGTGTTAATGTCTCTGCTGATTGTGAAAATTGCTGCAATAAAAACTCCAACTGCTTGCCTTAAATTAAGACTTCCAAGACTACATGCAACATCTATATCTTTGTATTGGTTTTTATAACATTTGGAAGCTTGGCTGCTTTCTTTGATGTTGGTCCATTAATGAATAGGGGAGCCAAATGTGGCAGAGAGAGAAAAATAACTGTTTATTGGAATATCTCAAGTCAAAACCTGCTTTAATTGGTTTGTGCTACCCCACGTTGATTCAATATCCTGATTTCTCCAGCTCTAGCTGCCAGAGCAACTGAATATCTATGTTCAGTTGCTGTTGCCAACACATAGTGACCCACTGTGATTGAAAATGGCAGCTGAAGCACGGCTGTAGCACATTAATTTCTGTCTAAGTGGTCCAATTTTGTCTTATGAATTGCTGAGAGTCTTCCTTCTGTGGCATTTTTATAGAAATTTGTCGAATTTTGAGATCACCGTCATTTAAACTGAAGTGCAACATTTCCAAGACAATTTTTAGATTATCTCTAATGGCTGTACTTCCTTTACAGCATGTAATGTACTTTCTTTACAGCACTCTATGTCCAAAGCAGGCTAGTTAAAAGTAACTTAAGTGTCGTAATGACAACTGCATCAATATGTTCCATTTATACCACCAAAAGGTACTGCTATAAGCAACTGAAGGCATTAAGAGTAAATAAACTGGTGAAAATCACCTCAGTGTAATGACACCCCATTTGAGGACTGTTAAAAGATCTCCATCCACAAAATCCTGAACTGCTCTTAACCATTTAAAATTAGCAAATGTCTTTAAAAAACAAAACCAAACCCTGCACAATTCATTGTTTTCTTCAAGGCTTCCAAGCAGCCCAGCTTCTTAGTGATAGTAAACTAAAAATAGACTAATATGCATAAACAATTCTCCTGCTATAACAACCTATTTTTCCCACCCAAAACTAACCACTGGAGCCATGGAAATAAAGTTACAATATCAGTAGAACAGATACATATGATTTACAGAAGAAAAAGAAGAGCAATCAAGAGGTATTAGAATACACTGGGAAAGTTCATTTTGTTTAGCTTGATAAAAGAGACCTACCAAACTTTACCGCTCCCCCACAACCTCTGAACAATCTACTGTTTGGAAAGCAGCCCAATTTACTGAAGGAGTGCTGCATTCTGCTTGGCTACTGGTCTGCCAGATTACAAATATTGATTTTTTAAAAAATAATGAAAGAGGCATATCTCTTTGCAAACAGGGGAAAAAAACAGGAGTAGCTAATGAATCAAAAATTACGTAAATGTGGCAGCAACATAAACTGACTTAAAATGCAATGATGAATATTCTGCAACTACACTGCCAGGACCAGTCCTTGCCACAGCTATTTAAAGAATATGCATTAACACTACTTCTACTGAGGAGGACAACAATAGCAACAAAAGATACAGCACATGATTGTAGATAACCTATGCAAAACTGACTGGAGGCTTTAAAAAAAAAAAATATCCAGGAAGGCATTTTAATTATTCTCTTATTATTCTTTGGAAATTAACCATAACAAATAAATAGAATGTTAAAATCTGTAACACACCCTATGGAATAAAAAAGATCTGCTATTCCTGTATTATGTATGAGAAGAAACGTGTGCTTTCTTCAAAGGTTTGCAAGTGAGTGGTCTTTTCTTTCAAAGATTCATTTGTAGGGGTTTTTTTTTTTTAAAGTAATTAGAAGTTCTTTTCCATTCAGGCCCCCTAATGAAATAATGTGCAGGCCATATCCAAAGTGTGAGTCCAAAAGAAAAGGCCTTGCAAATCCCACTAACAGAAAGGATAGGAGACACCAGAAACTATGAAACAGTGGCTGCCACGGAAAAAAAGGTCACCCTTTCCCCCCCTTAGAACAAACCATTAATCAATAGAATATAATTGTTTGGCTGTTTGCAAAAGCCTGCAGCATACAGACTATGTTCTTCGCTGGCATAATTACAAAACAGTAAAAGTTCAGAAACATAACCCAAGCCCACCTCCCCCTTTTACCCCTTTACAATCCCCCCACTGCCCTTTGGGCCTCTGCTTTGGAAGCAAATGGAAGACAGGCTGAAGTTTTCTCAATTGAGCTGAAAGCTAAGAAACCTTTGATATGCTAATAGCCCCCTTCAAACGGTAAGAATTCACACTTGCATTAATTCAAACAATTTGTGCAGAATGATGTGAAATGGCACCTCTTTTAGTGACAGGCAACAAAAGGGAGGGAATCAGAGTGTCTGAAGAAACCAAACAACAGAACATTTGTTCTGCAGAATGCTCTAAGAACATGTTCTTAAGGGGAAGATAAACAACACACACCTGAATCCCAAGATGAAGATCGGTTTGCCAAAGCAACTGTGCCCAAAACCCACCACCACCAGATTTATAAGAGGCTATTATTAATCACAAAGCAAAAATCCAGAGTCTTTTACAGGGTATCGCCAACACACAAACACACACCACCTTATGGAAGAAATCCCTCATACCTTGAGTCTAAGAGAAGGCGGCTTTTCGGGCTACCAGAACTGTATCCAAACACTCCTCCCACTTAGATCCCCCCAAGATGCTACAATAAATCACAACTTTAGCTTACACTTTTCAGAAGCATCTTCCAACACGCCACTTGTCCCCAGGTGGTCCTAAATACCTAACAAGTAAAAATGGAGCACAGGTTCTCCTTTTCTTCCTCCCCTCAAGAGCCACAACTGCAAAGGATTATAATTCATTACTATTTGCAAGTCTCGTGCAAGGGGGAGGGCGCTAGTCAGGCTGCTCCTCCATCCTTGTGCTTTAGTGAAAATGAAAGTGCAACAAGTCATTATTTACTTAAAGGGCTGCAACTTTTCCTCTCAGCGGGCCACTTGAATTCATGAAGACGACTTGGTAGGGGCCTGCTACACACACACACACACAGAGCCAGCCAGATGAATGAAATCAGCCACCAGGCTTTCTACTCTAAAAGAACCCAGAGTGAGGAGGCTGCCTGGCTGGTCACACACATAGCAAAGAATGCTGGAGCAAAGGGAAGAAAGAAGAGAAAAGCTTGCTCCAATAACAGGATCCAGATGGCTCTTGCTTTTAGCCAGAGACTTGCAAGCCTTCTTTGGAGGTTATTTCCCCCCCCCAACCCTAAGAGAAGTAGGATTCCTAAAGAAACCCCTCTCCCGCTCCACACATCCACACTAATTTCTTTCCATGGGAGAAATAAGAGCTGCAAAACAGGAGACAATGTGTACACCCCCATCCCAAACACACTTCCAGTCCCAGGTCACTATACACCCACAAGTCTGGGCACACTCGCTGGTAAAGAAAGTCCTCTGGAATCCCAATAAAAATGTCCTTCGCGTTAAGTACTGTATTAAGTATGGCTTGAGCACTTGCTGCAATCCCACCTTGCACACTTTATTTCTTTTTAAGGGGGACCCGAAGGCCAGTCAAATCAATACCAGAGCAACAGTCTTTCTTGAGGATCGGGCAAAGTTTAGCAAGCCGGGAGAGGTTTCTCTGCCTTCCACCCACCCACTCGCCCAGCATTTGAGCTGCTGGCTGTTCCCGAGGGAGCTTACATGCCACGCGGGGGTTTCGCGTGGCGGATGATTTGCGTGGCGAGCGGCCGGCGGCGGGGTGGGGTGGGTAGGGAGGATAGGCTAGAAGAGGGGGAACCCCGCGCGAAAGTGTCCTGCAACAGCCCGGCGGACTGACTGACCTCTCGCCAAATCCCCGGGAGGAGCGCAGGTTCTGCCCCGCTGCGCGCGGCGCAAGGGGGAAATCCTCGCGCGCGCTCTCGCTGGATCTGATCACAGGCCCGCACAGCCCTCGAAAAAACTGCCTCTGGTCGTCCTCCTCCTTATCCAGCCGGACTCTCAGCCCTTCAAGAGGCCAAGGCCCTCCAGGATCGCCACCCCAGAGCCTGCGCCGCTTCACATGTGACTACGCTCTCAGGTCACCTTCTTTCCCACCCTCCACTTGCCCGGGAAAGACCCCAGCTTCAGAGTTGAACCCTCATCCGATCTGCCTTTGCCCAGGGAGGAAGATCTAGGAAGTAAAAGGACCATCGCGAGCCTCCCCATGCCTGAGCGTTGACCACCCCATGCCTCTCCCTTCCCATATACATTCATTTACACACACACACACACACACACACACACAGACTTTGGTTTATGCGGCGCGCACAGCTCTCTTTCTTCCAGGTGATGGAAGATTTTTTTGGGGGGGGGCGGTCTATCAGGATCCATAGGACGGAAAACAGTTTGATACAGATTTATTGGAGGAATTCCCTCCCCATAGCGGGAAAAGGGGGTTAGGACTGAGGCTCTACAGTGCATTTCTCCCGCACCCCCCCGCCCCGACGCACATACACACACACCCCCTCTCCTGCGAAGTAAGCAGTCCCCTTGCATGCAAATGGCTTGCAAAAGGGGGCGATCGAAGTAAGCGAACAGGTCCTGCAAGTGGGAAAGAAGCATCTCACCCACGAAGAATCCGCACACACCGAGAGGGAGGGAGGGAGGGAGAGAGACGCTTACCTTTGGGTTTGCAGCCAAAGCCGGGCCGGGCTTCCTCTTGCATCTGGGGGTGCCCCGGGAAAGGGGGTACAGAGTGAGCCCCTTTCTGATCACAAGGTGGCGGTTGCTGTTGTTTGTTGTTTAAAGGCGATGTTTTGGCCCGGGGAGGCGCGCCAGCAAACACAAAAGCCAGAAGGGGAAGGAGGTGGAGGATCGCCGGGCAAGTCAAGGAAAAAGAGCTGGGCTACGTAGAAGAAGCGAAGAAAGGCGAGGAAAGCAGCTGGCTTCGCAGCTCGCTGGGCTGGGACAAAACGCACACCAGGAGGCTGCTCGTCTCCCTTCCGTCCAAGCAAAAAGAAAAGAAGAGCCCAGGCAGCCGAAGGGGCTCGGCGAGAGGTTAAGTCAACATTTCCCCCCACACACTCCAGGTCCCAACGCGCGCGGCTCCTTCCCCAAAACACGCACGCACTCCTTTAAATAAATGTTTGGGGTGGGGGTAGGAGAGCGAGGAAGGAGGGAGGTAAAACAAAAGGAAAATCGAAACAATTATTTTGGTCGATCTGAAAGCACCACAACAAAAGAGCGCTAGGTGCAAGCACCGTCTTGGATGTGACCAGCCCTGGAGTCCTCTCTCTTTTCTCTAGGCGACTGGGATGGATAGGGGGGGAAAGAAGGCGACGCCAACAGGAGCAGCCGGAATCAACTCAATTGTTCGGCGGGGAGGCGAAGTGGGGAGAAGGCGCTGCGATTGCAAAGCACAGGCACACGCACGCGAGAGGGGAAATCGGAAAGAAAAGCCCCCTTTCTCTCCGTCGTCCTCGTCGGCCTCATTTACATCTCCCTGGATGGCATCCTGGCCTCTGGCAGGATCCAGTTCCAGCCCTTCTTCAAGCTTCGCTTTTTTTCCTCTCCTCCTTGCTTCTCCTCTCTCCTCGACGCTGCTGCTGCTGCCGCCGCCGCCGCTGCCCCGTGAACGGAGATCAAGAGCAAAGCTGGTCGCTCAAAGCAATGGGGAGAGAAAGGAAGAGAGACAGAGAGGGAAAGGAGGGCGGGGGGCGAGTGAAATCGCCCTTAAAAGAAAAAAAGAAAAATCCCAGTGAATTGTATTGCCAGCTCCCTTTCGTCCATGCACCTCTCTCTCAGTGTGTGACTGGGGATTGCGAAGTCCTGACACGGACTCTCCACTAGCTCTGAACTGGAGCCACCTCCAGCCTCCACCTCTTCCTCCAATCTCCACCCCCTCTCTTTCTCTCTCTTCTCCCCACCCCTGGGCTCAGCTAATCATATAAACATATTATCGTGTATAGAAGCGGCGGCAGCCAAAAATATGGGGGGAACATATATATTCTCCTCTTCCCCACCACCCCGCTTCTTGTGTCTCGCCGCCGCCGCCGCCGCCACCCGCCCGAGCTGGTGGAAGGGGAGGGGGGCTTCTGGCAAATAAAAGCAGATTAGAGACAGCTAAGTACCAAACGTGAAGGAGATAATCTAAAGGCTCGATCTGCCACCACTGGCCATTTTCCACTCCATTTGAGCTGCTTGCGGCTGCACGGCTTTGGGGAGGAGAGGAGGAGGGATGGGGGGAGGTGGGCTGGGGAGAGAAAGAGAAAGAAGCGGCGCGGGGGTGTGGGTGGGTGTTCGTGCAAAAGCTTTGGGCTCGATCTGGCGGCGGCAGGGAGCGCTGGATCACTTCAGCCGGCGGTGGCTGGGAGCTTTGGGGCAGCCCCGCAGCGAGGCAGGAGGCTCGGCTGCATCTCGGGGTCCCCACTGGGTGCTGTCCGCCCACTGGCAGAGAGGGCCTCCTCGCCAGCCCCTCCGCGGCGCCGCAGACGAGCAGGCGGCTTCGCCTCGCCGCTCGTTCCGGAGGAAGGCTTTGGCGGCCGGCTTCCCCTCTCGGCGCGCTGGGCAGGGCAGGCGGCGGCGAGCTGCAGACCCGCGCAAAGTTTCGTCGCCGGCTTTTTGCCTTTCCCCCCCTCTCCCTGCCTGCCTCGTCCCTTTCTCCTTTGTGTGCGTAAAAAGCTGCCCGCGCCTAGCGCCGCCGACTCGGGATAGCAAAACGCAGGAGGGCCACCGCCACCACCACACACACTGGGCGGGTGCGAGAGCCGAGCAGCAAGTGCGGCTCTCCAAGTGGAGGAGGAGGAAGAAGAAGAAGAAGGCGAAGGAGGCAGTTGTGAGGGGGGACGGCGGCGCAGGGAAGCCTCCGAAGTTGAACTTCCGAGGGTCTGGCGGGGACTGAGGGGGGAGGGCGCAGGCGCGCGCGCACAAGACGGAGAAATGCAAACCCAACTCCGTCCGCCATTCTTCACCGTCTTCACGCGCCTCCGAACAATTCAGTCGACTTTGCGGGGCGTGGGATCAACTCGCAGCGATCCAGGGCAAAGGGAACTGGAAAACTGATAACTAAATAAATAAAAATGACCAGATAAACCCCTTCCCCATATGCCAGAGGGGTCTTTCTTTCTTTCTTTCCTTTCTTTCTGCTTTAAAAGTGTTTGGCTCTCATTTGTTTGCTCCGAAATCCCTTCCCCGCGCCCGCTTCCTTCTCCATTTTCCCTGTTCCCAGGGCAGCAGGGCGACAAGAAAACCGAGAAGGGAACCGTATCGAAAGAAGGGTGCGAAACTGCCCGTGACCCTCTGAGGTGCAGAAGGGAAGCTCTTCTACTTTCTCTTCCCCCTCAGTGAAAATTCCCTCAAACTGCAGGAAGGGTTTCTCTCCCGCCTGCCCACTCCCCCTCCGTTCACTTTCCAACAGGAAAAGAAAAAAGTGCTGTTCTTTTGTCTGTAATCCCAGGGCTTTCGGAAATTCTCGTGCCAGGGTTCGCTCACACGTTATGAGCATTTGATGGATTTCCCTGCCTGGCAGCTGTGGGGAAGGTTATACTGTGGCAGGACTCCTCTTTCGGCCTCATTCAAAAAAGCCATTTGAGGGGAAATGGAGAGGGATCCTGTAAACGTTACATCATAACCTATCCCTCCTAAAGGGTAACAGCTCTGGATATCAGAGCGGGAAATGCTCCTTTCCTAACATTCACAAATTATACAGGGGTTATATTGTCCCCTTGGTTTTTAATAAGTAAGGTAAAGGGACCCCTGACCATTAGGTCCAGTTGTGACCGACTCTGGGGTTGCAGCGCTCATCTCGCTTTACTGGCCAAGGGAGCCGGTGTACAGCTTCTGGGTCATGTGGCCAGCATGACTAAGCCGCTTCTGGCGAACCAGAGCAGCACACGGAAACGCCGTTTACCTTCCCACTGGAGCGGTACCTATTTATCTGCTTGCACTTTGACGTGCTTTCAAACTGCTAGGTTGGCAGGGGCAGGGACCGAGCAACAGGAGCTCACTCTGTCGCGGGGATTCGAACCACCGACCTTCTGATCGGCAAGCCCTAGTCTCTGTGGTTTAACCCACAGCGCCACCCGCATCCCTTTCAATAAGTACTGACACTCTATTATAACACCCTCAAAAGATCTTGAGGCATGTCCTCTCTTTTATGCAAACAATCTTGTGAGGTAGACACACTCAGTGAGCATGACTGCTGAAGAGGGATTTTGAAACCAAGTCCTCCTTGCCTAACACTGTCCACTACAACTGTCCATAACATTAGCGGCTCACATCGAATGTAACTGATCCATAGAAAGGACTGTATGAACTAAAAACAATTTTAAAAGCCCACTGTCCACTACAATACACACACACCACAATTAAATGAGACTCCTTTGGGCTGCTTAGATTTTTGCTTTGTTACATAGTGCTTTTGCCTTGTATTAAGACTACAGTGGTTTGGCTTATTCCGGTTATACCTGAAGGCCCTGTACTTTTATAACTTCACACACACTTAGGGCTCATCCACACTTTGGTTTGGTCCATGACATCTAAGCATAGTCTAGTAGGTTTTTCTTTTGTCCTGCTGCTTTCCCTGAGAAAACCCACCACTCACCGCTGAATCGGAGCAAGTTTGTTCCAATTCAGCGGTAGACAGTGAGTTTTCCTGGGGAAAGCAGTGGAACCAAAGAAAAAATAACAACTATAGGACAAAGGGAAGCCTGGATAAATGTACATAGAGAGAGTTGAGTGTAGAGCACTGTTTGACAAATCTGATGCTTAATTTCCATCCAGAAATTGAGCACACACATAAACATTATCAATACATGTATAATTATGGTTCGGTTAATGTTAGTTTCTTATTTTGTCCACTTTATACCCATGCAGGATTTCTTAGAGTGTTATCTAAGTTCCTGTACATAAGTTATAAGTGGGTGCCCTGTGCAAACAGTTGGGGAGGCTGGAGATCCGAACCCCTCCCCAACCCCACCTCTTCACCAAACCTGTGTTCAGTATCACATCTTCACTGAAGCCCACACTCATACATCCTATTGTGCGTCTGATCACACATTGCCCAGGGGGTCAGCTGCACATTTGGCACTGGGGGGCGGAGAGCAGGCGGGGGTGGGACTGGCATGCGTCCCGGGGGCGGGGCACGCTGCCCGCAGGGGTGTGGCACGCGTGCTGCAGAAGCGTGGCTTGTGTCCTGGGGTGGGGCACGCCACCTACAGAGGCGTGGCGCCCAGCGTAGGTGGGGGAGCAGCCATGATGGCACCCCACCGGGATTGTGCTGCCGGGGGCAGTGCGCGCTCCCTGCACTCCTCTTCCTCTGCCAGTGCCCCGTGAATCGGGGCATACGTGTGTAGGACTTTTGGCAGAGAGGACCATCATTATGTAGGAGCACAGAGCTAGAGTCAGCAGGGACATTCCCAACCTCACAGATGTGGGCTAAACATTTCAGGCCACAGAGCTCAAGTCTTCCAAAGAATGGTGTTATTTTCATGCTGGTTCTGTTCTACGTTTTTGTACAGCTGTCCCAGGGGTAAAATATTTGGGTATAGGAGGGAAAGAAAGACTTGGGAGAATCTTCAGAAGAAAATGATGGGGAATCATTTGCAACTTTATCCAGCAACACGAAGAAGAAGAAGAAGAAGAAGAAGAAGAAGAGTATGAAAATTTCAGTCACTGGCATATTATGAAGCATAACTTTATCTAATATGTCAGAACTTATAGTTATTACTGTTGGAATGGTGTGTGGTCAGATTGGGTCATACTTTCACCTTTGGTGAGAATGCACGAGCATAAAGAAGTTTGGGAACATGGTTGCTGATTACTGACAGAAATTTATCCACATTGAACCTCAGATAACTCCCAAAACTATGCTTCTTCGTCATTTCGAAGCTAATGACCCTGGATTCGGGCAGAAAAGACCTCCTTAAGCAACTGTATGCAACTGCAGAGTTGTGTATAGCACATAATTGGAAGTCTCCAAAGCAACCACCTACACAGCAGTAGATTGCTAAAATTTGGGAGACTGTCATTATGTAGAAATTTAACCAGCAAGTACAGCAAGCAAATAAACCTTTTTAAAAACAAATAATAATAATATGAGTAATTTTAAAAAAGCTATTATGGCTCCATGGCTTCCATTTATTTCCACTGTGGTAGTCCTTCATCTTCTGATCAGTTCAACTCAAGTCCATTTTTTTTTTTTAAGATTATGAGATATGTAACCTGTGCAATATAATTAGTGAGCCAATTGTTCCATGAGCATGATAAACTAAGAACAATTATCAGCCAGTTTCATTATTCCTTTACTGTTCTTTATATGTGTGCATATGTTTAACAGCCTGTATTTTTGACTGTGCAAAAAGTGTGCAGTTCTCGTTTTCAGCAACATCTGTACAGTTATTTATTATTTGCTACTGCCTTTAAAATCCTACCTTTACTCCAAAGAACTCAAGGTGGCACATGTGGCTCTCCATCTCTCCAAATTATCTTCACAACAGCCCTGTGAGGTAAGTGAGGCTGAGAGTTGGTGACTGGCCAAGGTCTTTCCATGAGCTTTTTAGCTCGGTTCGCATTCAGATTCTAGTCTCAATTTAATGTAATATGTAGTTCTGGCCTGAGTGGGTATAAATTCTGTACCACAAGATTTCATGTAAGGGAAGAATCATGCTTTGTTTTAGTTTTTTAATATCAGTGGGTCTTAAACAAAAACAAAATTCTGGTTGTGGCTTCAGAGCTGCCTTCAAGGATGGCACCTGTGTTTTAACGCCACGGGTACAAAATAATTGCAGCTCTGAGCACAGGTGATACAACCATATCACAACCACGTCCTGTTTTTTCTGGCCATGCCCTCTTTTTTTCCTCCTGCAGCAATGATTGCAAAAGGCTAAATTGTTGTTTAAAAGCCTCCAGTATTAGCTCTGTT